GATCAGTTGATCTATCGGTTGAACTAGTGAACAATTGACCCAGTCTCCTAGTCGGTTTGATGACCGGTCTGGTTCTGATAACATTACTCCATATACAGNCAAAGACTCATGACGGGCATGATGATATTAGCAGAATTGAAGATTGATAGAGATTGCACACAATTGAAGAGCACATTAGGTCCCCTCTCCACCCTTGCACTGCTTACTGACATTGTTATGAAAACAGAGACGTGCCAATCATATTCCAAATATTAGGTCTGTTTGATAACATGTGCATTAAAAGCATGTGGATCTAGGCCCATCGATGGGTCATGATCAAAGTCCGTTTTGAATTCCACTTGTATAAGTGTCTGGTAGTTTGTGTTGGGTTTCGAATATTCAAACCTGAATTCGATTAGTCTAATTTGGTTATTGTTAGTGTAGATTTGATAACCGAATTTCTAGGATGGATCCTATGGGTTCTTCACTCATGTTCCAAGTTATGACTCATTGGTTGTCTTGTGTATAGTGTGTAGAATCAATCATGCCCTGACAAAGCGGTAATGTTGTTCCATTGGTACTTTAGAGTCATGTATTCTAACCAGGAAAAGAGTCTTTTCGCAAGGACAATAATGTTTGTGGTCATTCAAAACTTTCCAAGATTGAGAATCGTTTACATTAGGGGACTTTATTGAGGTTGATTTGTTTTGATTAAGGTTTGGGTTTGTTGTATTTATAAGTTTTAACATGAAACATGTTTTTTTTTTTAGATTTAAATCTAATTTAATTTAAGTTTTTGGATATTTTGAACTTATGTGTTAAATCATGACCCATGATAGAGCAGAATGGAGAAAGACGATTCATGTAGTAAACTCCAAAAATATTTGGGCAAAGCTTTGTTGAGTTTAGTATATGTTAAATTAGTAACTCCTCTAATAGTTTAACTTATTAGAGAGGATGTGACATTAATATTTATTTAATATTTCAGCTAGAAAATTGAATTTTTAACTTATAAAAGTACAATAATGGTTAAGATTAATTTAATATTCATTTATTTTGATCCAATACAATAAAATTTATTCTAATTTTTTTCCCATCTAAAAACATTAATTTTTCTGCACATCCTCTAATGTTAGACAATTTAATCAATACATTTTTCAATAATAAACAATCTCATCAATTTACACATATCTTTCTTTATTTTAGTTTTAAATTGTATAATTAAAAAAATTAAATTATTATTTAAAATATAAATATTGTAAGATCAATTCGATTTTTTATATTGTATAATGTCTTTGAACACATATATACTTTAAATTATTCTCTTTATTAGTGTTATTATAACTGAATCGGACTGGCCGATCAGACTGGTTCAACTGGGAACTGGGATCTTAACCGGTCCGATTCTCTAGTTGAACCGTATAAGGAAGAGAATCAATTAAAAATTGAAAAATTGGCCGATTTTTAAAAATCGGATGGTTCTGCTCAATGACCTTGTATTGGCTCCGTCGAGCCTCAGTCTTTGCGCTGGGTCTCAGTGCATATTTGCTCAACGGAATACGAACCCTAACTCACTATATGAACAATCCAAGGGATTAAACCCAGCAACCAGCAACAAGAAAGTAAAGAGAAAGAAATCCAAGGGATTAAATCCATCACCCACCTCTGAAGTTGATTGTTGATACACATTTACATATATATATATATATATATATATATATATATATATATATATATATATATATATAGAGAGAGAGAGAGAGAGAGAGAGAGAGATTGCTGGGCGATATTATAGCGGTTAATTAAATCAATGCTAAATACGAGAATGAGGCTGATGTTAAGATTATTAACAGAAATACAACTGTGAATTAGTATATATGCATTTTATTTTTTTTATTATATGATCGGTCCGATCAGTTGATCTATCGGTTGAACTAGTGAACAATTGACCCAGTCTCCTAGTCGGTTTGATGACCGGTCTGGTTCTGATAACATTACTCCATATACAGCTCAGATATCAACAATGTAAGATCCATTAAAACTAGGATTTGAACTCGGACAACCTTGTGTATGTTAGATTCGTATTTGAATCTTACAGCTTAGTTTACTTAAGAGGGTGTGTTTTTTTTTTGTTTTTTGAATTTAAAACGTTAGACATTGTATTAAAAAGATAAATCTGAAGTAAAAATTTTGGTGTCAATTCTTTCTAAATATCAACATTTTCACCGCAACTAGTCTTTCTAGCCACTAGTGAGCTATACATTTTCTTGATAGTCTAACGGTGGACAAAGAGAAAAAAAATAAATAAGAAAAAAATGCGCTAAAAATTTGCAACAATCGTGCTTAAATGAGAGAAATTCTCAAAATTATCGTCAATCATATTCATGATCACTTTTTAGCACAATCTCATCGCACCTAATCTGCCTAATAAAAATCACAACTTCCCTGATCGCAATAAGCTCTGCAGTTTACACCTCACCCAAGGCAATTAGCTTCTTTGATATCCCCAGCAACAAACATCCCACCTTCATTGCGTATTACCAGACCCATCCCAGTATAGACAGACAAAATCCCATTAACATTATAATATCAAATCAACTTATCATTAACAGTATAATGTCAAATCAATTTATCTTAAGAGGAGATTGAATGAGATTTAAGCACGCGTGAGATTCGCATTGACAGGGCCATGAGTCCTTTTAAACTTTGTGATGAGGTGTCCACATCACAAGGCACTAGCATGACGTGTCAAGGCCACTGTACACTTTCATGTGTCACGTGGCAATAATTGCACAAATTTATGAGTTGGTAAGTAAAGACAAAGAACCAACTATTTAGCATTTGCTCTAATAGTAGTCACCTCCCCCACCCCCCAGTCCCAATTGCTCATATGGAAAATGATCCCAAATCCCATTGGGGGGCATTTAGAGGATGGTAGCTAATTGAGTCGAATTAAATTTATTAAATTTATTTTTTTAAGTGAGTTTACAAAATTATTTAAGGTTAACTCGTTTAAAAATATGAATCAAGTCTTCTAAACGAGCTGAGCCTAAAATGAATTGAACTTGAATTGAGCTTAAGTAATTCGATTATTTTACATATAAGTAAGTTGAACTTTACAAGTTCGAGTTGAACCTTATAGGCTCGTCCTTTAGAATACGAGTCGAACTCGAATCGGGTCTTATCTGAATAATTTCGCTCAATTATCAACCCTAATTCAAAGTAAAAAGTCTCTGATTTGGGTCCTAGTATTAAAAGTTTATTTTTTGACACCATATCTTCACTTTTATCAAATTAAATTTTGACACGTGTAAATTTTTTATTTTATTTTATTATTTTTCAATCAATACTTGCAAATAAATATTGATACGATACTGAATCCATATCGTAACATTATTGTTGACCTTCATTCCCTGTTATATACCTTGTTAGGTCAAGAAGCTTCAAATGTTAGTTTCGTTGATGTAACATCAGTTTTTAATTGGAGTCCACAAGGTTAAAAATAATGAGTTATCTTTCCCTTAGTATGAAACTAGTAAGAATCAAATCCTGCATTCTTTTTTTATTTTTATTTTTTTTGTGGTAATTAGGTTATAATTGAGTGTCTTAGAGCATCACTAATCCTTGCAGGCTCGTATGAGTTTTATTTCTCACATGTGCAGGATAATTATACAGATAAATTCCTAGGGTGACCCAAAGAAAAATTTTTAATAGTGGAAGCGTAGCACTATTCACGCCTTCTCGTGAAAATAATAATAATTCTCTCGTCTCTTTGTTCTCTCTAGTCCCACAAACAATAATATGTTTGTCTTTTCAGTTTCATCTCTCAATCTTAAAATTCAATCAAGTTCACAATCTTTTAACGATATATCACATGAAGTTGTTTGAAAACTGGAACAGGTGGGGGCATTTACTTGGATTTATAGGAGAACAATCATAACAAATCAACAATGCTTGAAAAGGTTTCCAAGAGCTGAACAATACACAATCAGATCTACCTCTTAAATCACCCCAAAAGAACTGTGAGAAAACGGCTAAGTACTTAAATCGCCATCCAATCGGAGATAGGTCTGGTCGTATTTTGTTGGTGTCGTGTTGACTTATTTATCAAAAAATTTTGGAGGGTCAACCTGATTATAATTATAATGAGAATGTGATAAGTCCCCATATTCAATAATTTTATCTCAATTTTGGGTTTGGTTGATAGTTCAAGTTAAGAATTGTCAATTATATCATTTTATTTTGTACTTCTAATCTCGCTTTTGTCTTCGTTAAGGACACTTTGTCAGCTAGCTATACTAACCGGTTTCAAGTACTGAATTATATTACCCAAAAAAACAAAAGAAGATTAGTAAACTAATGAAATCTTTTAGGGTTTTATAGAATTGCATCAAATAGTCCAAAAATCATGACAAAGACATAAATTCATTCTATAAACCCTATGAACACCACCAACTCCATCTAACTACATTGTTAATAGACAAACTTAAGTCTTCAAACATCACCCTTTACAAAATTCTAATGGTGTTAAATCAAAGAAAGCAATGAAATAGAGCAAAGTAGGGACCACAGCTCCCCCCTCTCTTCTCCGAAAAAAACCATTTCCATACAAACAAATGAAGGACAAGGTATCTTTCTGGTAGCATGTACACATCTATATACAACCCCAAGTACCCCCAATCTAAGCTCGACACGTCTAAATAAATGGGAAATTTACATGCAGTGGTTGAAGCTAAGCTGGGAAACATACAGGCCAAAGGTCTAATTAGAAGGCTTAATTAGCAAAGGGCCGATATATTTGTGGGCCCATGTAGTGCAGCATAGTGAGACAAGTGGGCCCTGTGTAAGGACTATTCTAGCTGCTAATGCTTGTGTTGTTTGTTTTTTTCCTAGCTAATTAGAGTTTGAGTCTCATCCTCCGCTGCCTTTTTAAGCAACTCATTCCTCCCCCTTTGAAATTCCCCCCCTCACTCTTGCCTGCAAAAGTTAGTGCAAGAGAGAGAAAAACAGAGGAATAAGTCATGTCTAGCAGAAATAACAGAGGTTCAGGTTTCACCCAAGATGAGATTAATGGTCTCCTCTTGAAGCTACAAGCATTGCTACCAGATCCTACTTCAAGGTGCACAAGGGTATGCCCCATGGTTTTTTTTTTTTTTTTTTCCTTTTTCTGCCATTTTGATGACATTAATGATACCATGTTCCTAGTATATGGTATGACTTTGCTCTACTGTAACCTTAGGAGGCATCAAGGTACAGAGACTACAGAGGGTGCCAATGCAAATTTCACCTGTAAAGCAGAAAGTGAAATATTTGAAACGACAATTTTTAGCTTTACCCTTGAAATATTACATGTACAAGATCCCGCATATCACGAGTTTAAGANTTAGGAGGCATCAAGGTACAGAGACTACAGAGGGTGCCAATGCAAATTTCACCTGTCAAGCAGAAAGTGAAATATTTGAAACGACAATTTTTAGCTTTACCCTTGATATATTACATGTACAAGATCCCGCATATCACGAGTTTAAAAGTGATAAATGATTAGCGCTCTTATCTCCCTATTTGGTAAATGCTGATTTTTGGACTCAAACACGTGACATGTTGCTTTGGGAGAATGAACACTTGTCATTGTCCCGCGTGGTATCTATACAGATTCAAATAGAAGTGAACTCCTAAAAAAGCTTCAACTAAAGATTCATCTTTTGAGATGGAGGGTGGGGTGCATGAACAGAATTGTGTACACAACCTTCATATATAGGAGCATTGGGAATAAATTATAAGACAGGGTTAATAAAGCAACAAGACAAAGTGATTTTCTGGTTTTGACGTTAAAGAAACGAATAAAACCCGCAGAAACGAACGAAAAAGTTTCTGTTGGAGAGAATCAAGAGCCGTGCATAAAACTAAATGGCGGGATTAATTATGATGATTTGAAAGTAAAATTGAAATACAAATATGATGTTGTAATGTTATTAAAGATGCAACTTTATGTGATGTTTCATAGGTACCAACATCAAAGATTCTGGAAGAAATGTGCAGTTACATCAAGAGGCTGCGTAGAGAGGTGGACGATCTCAGTGAGAGACTGTCTCAATCACTGTCTTCCATGGACAGTGATGAACTTAATGCAGACTTTCTTAGAAGTCTTCTACAGCAATAGTCTCTCTCTCTCTCTGTGGGTTGGTTAGAAGTCATAATACCAGAGAAAAATATTTGTATCTTCTTTGGCACATCTATATGTAACATTGGCTCTATTAGTTTGGTTGGATTTCCAACCAGAGAGCAGTATTAATCAATGCCATGAGTATAATATTAAATCATATACTTTCTGTTCTGTGGAGACATGCTTGTAATGCTTTAAAAAAGGAAAAAAAAAAAAAAAAACTACTCATACTGGGTCCTATGTAGATGAATTGAACTTGTCTTGGACTTCGTAATCTGGTGACGATTCAATGACCAAAAAAAATATAACATTTAATCACTCTATAGTCTATACATTATTACTTGGGATGGAGAATATAACATTTAATCACTTAATAGTCTATACATTATTACTTCGGATATTTCCATAACTTCGACTTTTGTTTGTGATACTAAACCTTCCTCAACTCGTGAAAGATGATGAATTTTTTTAAGCATTCAAAATACCCTTATTAATTTATCTGGTTTGTCGCTATAAAATGCTTCTTCAATCTTGTAAATTTTTTGTACATTTGATCTCTCTATAATCTATCGTTCGACCTGTTTCAATTTTCTCCAGACAAAAGACCCATCACAACATTCATGTCATATTGTCATTAACCCATTATCACCGGAAGTACCACCCAGCACCATCACTAATTCACTACCACTTATACCACAGGGACCACTCTAACCAGCATGAAAACTAAAACTTCATCTGAAATACTTGTTGAATTAAATGGCCTGGCAGCCTTATGGCTAGCATGAAGACAAAGGGTGGTGTTGTTTTTTCAACAATTGGTGTCTTAAAGTCAAGAGAAAAAATGGGGCTGCGCGTGAACGCCTGAATCATACGTAGTTCGGATCTGATCTCCGCATTAATTGCTTTGATTTACAGATTTGAGTCTTTGTCCATTTCTTTCCCAGTTTGCCTATGAAAAGAGATGCCTAGCCAGTGGTTCAAGCATCCGAAAATCACTTCACTATTTTCAGTGCTTGTAGTGTACAAGCATTAAATGATGTTTTGGTATCAATTTGAGTGATACCAGTAAGATATCGAGTAATTTTATTTTGTTCGAGTGAGTACTTGTGAGATTTGAAACAATTGTTCTCATACTCTCTGTTTACTCCAAATAGTGAAAACATTTGATCGTTGTTATCGTGGACGTAAGTAATTGCCGAACCACGAAACTTGTTTTGTCTTGTGTGATTGTTCCTTTAGTGTGAGTGTCAATATCGGTTTAAATTCGATTCCTTGGGTAATTTTTGCAACAAATTGGTATCAGAGCCAATACTAATTCTGGTTATTTATATATGAGTACTGTTCATATAGTACAGTATATATAGGGTACTGTTCATACAGTACTATTCATCAGTACTNGTGCAGTTACATCAAGAGGCTGCGTAGAGAGGTGGACGATCTCAGTGAGAGACTGTCTCAATCACTGTCTTCCATGGACAGTGATGAACTTAATGCAGACTTTCTTAAAAGTCTTCTACAGCAATAGTCTCTCTCTCTCTGTGGGTTGGTTAGAAGTCATAACACCAGAGAAAAATATTTGTATCTTCTTTGGCACATCTATATGTAACATTGGCTCTATTAGTTTGGTTGGATTTCAACCAGAGAGCAGTATTAATTAATGCCATGAGTATAATATTAAATCATATACTTTCTGTTCTGTGGAGACGTGCCTGTAATGCTTTAAAAAAGGAAAAAAAAAAAAAAAACTACTCATACTGGGTCCTATGTAGATGAATTGAACTTGTCTTGGACTTCGTAATCTGGTGACGATTCAATGACCAAAAAAAATATAACATTTAATCACTCTATAGTCTATACATTATTACTTGGGATGGAGAATATAACATTTAATCACTTAATAGTCTATACATTATTACTTCGGATATTTCCATAACTTCGACTTTTGTTTGTGATACTAAACCTTCCTCAACTCGTGAAAGATGATGAATTTTTTTAAGCATTCAAAATACCCTTATTAATTTATCTGGTTTGTCGCTATAAAATGCTTCTTCAATCTTGTAAATTTTTTGTACATTTGATCTCTCTATAATCTATCGTTCGACCTGTTTCAATTTTCTCCAGACAAAAGACCCATCACAACATTCATGTCATATTGTCATTAACCCATTATCACCGGAAGTACCACCCAGCACCATCACTAATTCACTACCACTTATACCACAGGGACCACTCTAACCAGCATGAAAACTAAAACTTCATCTGAAATACTTGTTGAATTAAATGGCCTGGCAGCCTTATGGCTAGCATGAAGACAAAGGGTGGTGTTGTTTTTTCAACAATTGGTGTCTTAAAGTCAAGAGAAAAAATGGGGCTGCGCGTGAACGCCTGAATCATACGTAGTTCGGATCTGATCTCCGCATTAATTGCTTTGATTTACAGATTTGAGTCTTTGTCCATTTCTTTCCCAGTTTGCCTATGAAAAGAGATGCCTAGCCAGTGGTTCAAGCATCCGAAAATCACTTCACTATTTTCAGTGCTTGTAGTGTACAAGCATTAAATGATGTTTTGGTATCAATTTGAGTGATACCAGTAAGATATCGAGTAATTTTATTTTGTTCGAGTGAGTACTTGTGAGATTTGAAACAATTGTTCTCATACTCTCTGTTTACTCCAAATAGTGAAAACATTTGATCGTTGTTATCGTGGACGTAAGTAATTGCCGAACCACGAAACTTGTTTTGTCTTGTGTGATTGTTCCTTTAGTGTGAGTGTCAATATCGGTTTAAATTCGATTCCTTGGGTAATTTTTGCAACAAATTGGTATCAGAGCCAATACTAATTCTGGTTATTTATATATGAGTACTGTTCATATAGTACAGTATATATAGGGTACTGTTCATACAGTACTATTCATCAGTACTATTTACATAGTACTAGTCAAGGTATCGTAATTGTTTGCACTAGTTTTTTTTTTTTCAGGACCTCACCAGATCAAGTTTTAAAGTCATGGTGACGAAACTTCCTAAGATCTCGAATTTTAAGTTCGAGGTGGTGAAATTTGATGGAAGGAACAATTTTGGAATTTGACAATTCAAAGTTAAAGATGCCCTAATCCAACAAGGACTACACAAAGCATTGAAAGGTAAACCTAAAGATGTGGACGACGACAAATTGAACGAATACGATCTTCAGGCATGTAGTGCGATTTGGTTGTGTCTGGCAAAAGAAATTATGTACAACGTCATGCAAGATAAATCAGCTGCAAATATTTGCTTGAAATTTGAAAACCTCTACATGACAAAGTGACCAACTGATAGTACCTAAAGCAACAACTCTATACGTTTTGTATAAAGGAAGGTACATCCATGTATGAGAATTTTAACGAGTTTAATAGAATTGTTTATGAACTACTAAACATGGAGATTAAGTTAGAAGATGAAGACAAAGTCATGATACTGTTGTCCTCGTTACCCAATTCGTACAAGCATTTTGTCACCGCATTGCTCTTTGTGAAGGATACCATTGAGTTCGATGATATTACTTCATCACTTTTTCTAATGAGTTCAGAAAGAAGACTCCTAAGATCGACTCTCAGGCGGAGGGTCTATTAGTCAGAGGGAGAACAAAGAATATAAATCTAGGAAGTAATAGATCTCGATCTAAATCTAAAGTTAAAGATCGAAATAATTCTTAATGTCACTATTGTCATAAAAAGGGGCACTGGAAAGCTGATTGTCTGAAGCATAAAGTTAACGATCAGAACAATAAAGATAAGATGTCTGATACTGTCAGTGTTGCTGAAGACAATTCGGATAAATTTTGAATTTGAATTCTTAATTTATAAAAGTACAACAATGATCAAAATTGATTTAAACTTGATTAAATGGTATAAAATTCATCCCAATTTTTTTTTCTGTCTAAAAATATCAAGTTTTTTTACACGACCTCCAATGTCAGTTAACTCAATCAACACATTCCTCAATGTCAAATAATTACATTAATCAAAACTTACCTTTCTTTTCATTTTGATTGTAAATTGCGTAATTAAAAAACTTAATATTTATTTAAAATATAAATATTACAAGATCAATTTAATTTTTAATATTGTATAATATCTTTAGACACGAGATTATTGTTTGTATATATATATATATCAATCAAATTAAGAAAGAGAAAGAGAAGACTTCTTTCCTCAAACATTAAAGTACTAGAGTGTTGAAATATTTAAGTAACTCCTTCCAATCAATTTACTCCATATGGCTTATGTAATTTATGGAAAATACTATCTAACTCAAATTTGTATCTTAAATGTGCATATCAAATGAATAGGGATTATTAGATGAATAGGTCTCATCAACTTTTTTAATTGAGACTCACTGATCCAACAATCCTTATTGATTTGAGATATACATTTGAGATATATAACATTACTCGTAATTTATTACCATCATTTTTTGTAGACTACTTAAAACTTGAATTTTACTCTTGCTGCTTACGATGGGGGGAAGATCAACTCCTCTTTATCTTTTAATTATCACAACATAAGAATGAGCAATCGACTATGTTCTTTGTTCATAGACACTATTCTAGAGCCTATATCTATATAATACCCTTGTATGCCCCTTGTACAACCACCTAAACAAAAGACAATTCATTTGTGACATTAAATGTCAAACAAATGTGAAATAAGAAATTAAAAGCAAAGGATTATAGGCTCCATCTTGCTTCTTCAAAGCACAAGAAATCAGCTCTATCTAAGATGAACTCCACTCCACAAAAACTACAATTGTAATTATGGTTTTTTCTTTCTTTTCTATCTTATCAATTCAAAGATAAGCACCAGGACTAAGAAGCTTTTCAAAGAATCTTTAAGTATATATATAATTTGGTCAAGTGGTATCTGATTCAAGACTTTTTATTCCGATATTGCTCTTTGTTATGTGCGAACCACGAATCCATTAATTTTAACTTCGAGTTGACTTGGAGCTTTTTGATCTCATAAATATCATCAAATTCTCGAGTACAATTTCCTGATAACTATGTTTCAGCACGGAAGACTTTTTTATGTTGACGGAATAAGTAATAAAAATTAACGAAAAGATTATATTGTAATACTTTTAATACATTTAAAGAGAAACGTGAAAATTTTAATTTTTGAGGAAAATTTTTAAATCTTTAAGGGCGAAAAGTACAATTTGTCGTTAAATTAAATACACACCGAAAAGTGAAGAGAGATTCCAAAGACAACCCCAGTACAAGTCTCAGTGCAGCCTGAGATCAAACTTGTCTAGAAGACTTTGAATATTAACGAGAATGGCTAAGCTGTTGCTCATGTATTCCTTCGATGTCTGCACCTTCGTCCTCACCTCATCAACCATCGTGGATCCCATCTCCTCCAACCCATCCAAGCACGTCTCTTCATCACTCATCGCACTGCTTATCCACGTGTTCAGGTCACCAATCTTTGCCTCTGTCAAGACCCACTCAACTGGGTTCACGTCCATTAACGCCACCGACTTGTTGAGTTGACTCAGTGCATCATCAAACAAACTCATGCAGTCCTTCAACGCTGACTCAGTTGAAGGGTCGTTGGATTTGGAGAGGAGAGTTTTGGGCAGCGAAGTGAGGTTAGTGAGTTCTTTGACGGCGACTTGGATAGATAGGTTGAAAACAAACTCCGGGTCGGTTTTGAATGTGGGGTTTGTGGTGATCCAGGGCCGGCCCTAGAGGTTAAAAATAAAAACGGAGACTTTAGGTGTTACATACGAAAAATGTCCAAAATTTAAAAATTAATAATATAATATAAGTTATAAAATAAAATTTACTATAATATTGCCTAAAAATTAATTTTTGAAAGAGTAATCCAACACAAAAATTAAAAATTTGGGCTTAAAAGTTCAGACCTCATCACACAATCACATTTATTAAAGGACAAAAAAAATTAATAAAAAAAATACTGACAAAATCTATCTTTTTCTTGAATCGAAAGAAGTGTAATGAACATCTCTCTTTAGTCAAAAAAAAAAAAAAATCAAAACCAAATACATTATTTACTTCTCTTAAACTTGTTTTTTTTTTCCCTCATTTAAACGCAAAATACCAATTAAACTATTCATTCTCATTAAAAAAAATGTTTTGATAAAGTTCTTATTCGTAACAAATAAACTATAACAAAAATTTAGGTGAAAGCTGCATGGATAAATAAATAAAATTCAAAGATAGTAAAATAATTCAAAAAAAAAGATAATAATGAATTTATTTATAATAAAGTCAATCATTTAATTTCACATTTTTGATAAAGAACATATAAAACAAATAAAAAGAACATAAAAATATTAATGAAGAAATTAATTTTATTCCTATAAATATTTATGATCAAATGTCATATTATTAATTAAAAAAATATATTAGTAAAATTTAAATAAAAAAATTAGTAATTTCAAGTCTCATCAAAAAATAAAAATAATAAATTTTAAATTAAAAAATTAAATTATTATTAACCGTCATTACTTTAGACCTCAAATCTTGTTGAGCCACCCCTGTGGCGATCAGGGATGACACGGAGGTCAAGCATGAGTTTGGGTATTGAGTCACGTAACAGATGGTTTTGAGTGAGTCGGCCGAGTTGGCAGAAAGTGATGACGATGACGATAACGATGATAATGCTTTCTCTGGTGGTTCGGTGATGGTTTTGTGGATTAAAACACCGGCCATTGCACCGATAATGACGGTTAATAGGATGATGAGAGAGATGGCTACGGCGGTGCGACGCTTTTGGGGGGTGGTGAGAGATTTGAATTTGATCTTCGGAGGGGTTTACTTTGTTGTAGCCTTTGATTATGTTGATGGACTCCATCTCTGTTTGTTTAGTGAGGAATATTTAGAGGTATGCGTTGGAAAAGCCAATAACAGAATGCCATATATGTATGTATACACTGGATGAATTTGGGAGGAGAAATTCGATGGAAATGTTTTTTTAGGGAGATATTAGTAGTTATTGAATGACCTTATTTAAAATCGTCGAATAAATTTATTAAAATTTGATTTATTTTATATTATAGATATATTAGAGTAACTCGTAATTTCAGACACAGTAAATAAGAAGTGATGAATTTAGAAGGGATAAAATTCAATGTTAATGGTTTTAAGAGAAATATTGATGACCGTTAGATGAGTTTATTTGAGATCGTTGAATAAATTTATTAAAATTTACTTTATTGTATATTATAGGTATCAGCGTAAGTATGATCTGTGATGAACAACCCACCGAAGGAAGGAAGGAGATTGGATTACAAAGTTGAGATTGTCAACTATTATTATTTAGTGTGGAGATAGTCAATAAATTCGACAGAATGATTTGTATAGATTATGCTATAAAATGTATGGAATATGTTGGAAGACCATCTGTAATAGATTTTTTATTATCACTTAATTTTTTTATTTCTTTCGTTTCGTAAATATCTCGTTTTACATAATTTTTTTGTTCTATAATATCTATCGTTTTATAAAACCAAAACATAATTAATATTTTTTCTTCCAAATTTACCCTTAATTTTTCAATGCATTAGATTAGGTGGAGGTTAAGTGTCTTTCATATTCTTTTCCTTCCCAATACATATTGAATAAGAGTATTTTAGTCTTGTGTAATTATTTTTTACTCATATTACAGCTATTTAATAACTTCTTTAATCTATGTGTAAAAATATTAAACGACAGATATTTAGAATGGAGGGAGTATTACAAAAAATCAATTTTAAAATCTCTTCTCCAATTGACTTTTTATTTAGACTTCCTAAAATAAATAGTTCAATTTAACTCTCTTAAGTTGGAGAGTCAAATTCACTCCCTAATCATTTTTTTTGAAAGAAAAAAAAAGATATATTGTCTTTTTATCTAAAACATTTAAGATAAAACATTTTCATTTAAAATAATAAAGAAAAAATATGAGGAAACCCAAATTTAATACCAAAAATGACAAAAAATAAATGATAAAAATAGAGTCTTATTGGAGTAGTGTGTAAAAATTACTCTCTATTATAATTTTCTATTAAAAATAATTTCTATTTTAGAAAAGATGCTCTCTAAAATAGAGAGCACAATTAGAGATACTCTAAATAAACTAATAATTTTGTGAAAATTGTATTTTTTTTTTTGGGAGCGGAGGGGGAGTGGAGGGGAAGGAAGATAGTTTATATATATATATATATATAATGATTGATTACTAATACACATTTTATACGCCACTATAAAATTCTTAAAAAATATTAAAATTTTTATTTTTTTAAATTATCGAATTAGAACTTTCTCCGATCACATTCGATGATGTGTCTTTGTAACCACTCATCATCAACTCCCCACTATTTTTTCAAATTTATTTGCATAATTTTTTTCAATATTCAATAATTTAGTATTATTCTTTTATATATTTTCTTAAATATAAGGTGAAAAATAAATATAAATAAATTTTAAAAAATGACAAAATATATATACGGTGCGCCGCAAGGGCCAAAATGCTCAGAGGATATTTGTTTGAGCAATAAATACAAAAGATGATTACTATACTATGTGCTATTCTCTCAAATGAAGATGATTAATGAAAACATATAATCATTTGAGTGAGAAAGGGATTATTATTTCTGTTGAAATGTTCCTACTTTGAATTCCATTTGCCAGCCCATCTGTTTTTGAAAAAAAAAATAATAAGTTCCTTTAAAAAAATTCCAGACTTACTTACCACTTGCCCAAACATGTACAATTAGTTTCAGACCAAGAAAGAGTATATCATTTTTTATTTTTTTTACGAAACTATATTTTATTACCATTCAAACAGGAACTGCGACATCAAATTTCATAGGGAAGAAAGAGTATGTAATATTGGGCGCGTTATATTTACAAATACATATCAAGCGCGTGCGTGTGCACACAAACACACACACACACACACATATATATATATAATAAAATAGAGTTAGAAATTAAATTTTAAAAAAAAAAAAATTCAAATCATTTTGAGACAAAATATTAACACATCTAATATATAACGTAATACCAACATAAAAGACAGTTTAAATCATCTCATAAATATTAATCTGACGGCCTATAATGAGTACTGAATTTTGTTTTCTTCCTCACTAACGTTTCATATTTTAATTATCAGTAATTTTAACTTTTTTCAAATCTCTCTTTCTCATTCTTTTATCGCCACCGATCAAGGCCAATTTTCTTATCATTAATCAAGGTTAATTGCCTAAATCACGTCTCTCTCTCTCACCTCTCAAAATTTCTCAAATCTTCATCGGTCTCACTTCTGCCTCCCTCTCCCAATCTCACCCAATTCAACTACACACACGCCACCCAAGCCAGACTCTCTCTCTCTCTCTTTTGCCATGGCTCAACGAGGTCTCCTCCTATCTGTCATAGCTCCTCTGCCATCGCCCAGGCATTCCGCCCTCTCTCTTCTCACTTTGTAAGCCACCAAGAGAGACAGATGCACCAACAACATCAACCGGAGTCACCAGCGCCAGCCGCCATGTATTTCTCTATTTCCCTCTCTCTCGGTACTCTCTGCTACCATACACACACCCACACTCAGTTTCTCTCTTCTCTCTCATGTGTATGTTAACCCTTTTCTCTTCCCCACTTTTTTATCTGATCTTTCTCTCTCCATTCTCCCTTATGTATTAGCCTGAACAACGACTACCACCATGGAAACCCACCAACAACCTCGCCAACAATCACCACCGCTCCTCTCTCACTCACTAGGTATATCTCTCTCCCTTTCTCCCCTCTCTTCTCTAGCTCCACCATCAACTTTCCACAACCCGTAACCCGTACATACACACATACACATCAATGATGCACAATACACACCCCCATAGCCACTTGCTAAAACAGAAAATGCCACACTCACATTGACAAACACCCACAGAATAGCATTATCAGTGTAGACCTATAAGTTGTTCGATGAAACGCCCCATGGGTTTTTGACACACACTCACTTAACAGGCCCTTTGAACCATAGTCATCAAGGTAAATTAATTGTTTATAACCATTTCTGTGTTCATTTCCTCTGTTAACAATAAATTAACATGATCCCATGGGTAACCCATGTTTTTCATTTCTGTGTTTATTTTTCATTTGTCCAGTAATTTTTTTTTATTTTTTACATTTTCTTTATGGATTGGGAAACTATATGCACATTTGTTTTTTCATTTTTGAATTAGTAATGAGCAACACCATGCAGGTAGAAGGATATTCATTTATTGATGCATTTGTTAATGTTCACACTAATGAGGAATGTTGATTTTCAGGCATGCATTTGCTAATGTTAGCAATACATTCTGAGCAAATTTACAAATTGTGTAAGTATAATCAGTTGACTACTTTTACATTAGTTACAATTCAATGCCCTTTGATTAAGCATCTCACTCTTATTCAGTTGCAATTTTGCTTAATATAAGACTACCTAAATTAAAGCCTATTGTATTGCATCTTCTATATCGCAAGTAAAGTCTAATGAGGTTTTTATTTACGCCATGAGGTTTTTGCTTAATGAGTTTTTTGTTTTTGCCACTTTTGTTAGTTGGCAATTTATGGTGTTGTGGTAGTGGTAATTCATTCATTGTTTGTGCAATTCGGAATGGTGTTTTCTAGCATGGAATTCCTGCCTAAATCGGTAATTACCTTGCCTTTTCCCCATTCCTAAATTGTGTACATGGAATTCCTTTCGATTATATATTGAACAAATGTCACGTCTTTGGTTATGCACATGGTTAGTTTGATGAAATGTCTCATGGAAACATGGTCAGTTGGATTGAATGAACAATAGGCACACTTTTAATTTCTAATTAACAAATTAATTAATCAATGAGTTGTGCTTATGTATGACAGAGAATTTTAAATTGGTTATAGGTTGATTTCTTTTTTTTTTTTGCATAGCATCTTTATAGAAAGAACTTTGTATAGATTTTTTTTTTTTAGAGTATTGGGTTTAGAATATTAAATCTAAATAATCTAAAGAACTTCGCAATGAATTTTCAAATGGATTCTCTTTTCTTTTTTTATCCTTTTTTTTTGTAATTGGCAACTTTTTTTACACAATGCCTTAAGTGAGAAAGGTTAATTTGTGCAGGTGGTCGAAGCATTGGTCGATGGTGTTGATTAAAGGTTGTTGTGGAGTAGGTTAACTTTGTGAATACAACAATATTGAGGTATTATTCTTGATATTCTATGTTGTACTTCTTCATTTGAGTTTTGATTATTGTTGTACATTTTTTAAATTGGGGATTAATTTTTCTTTTATATGAATTGCTAAAGTGTATCGAAAATCGAGTAGTTTCTTTTAAGCTTAATTTAATGGCCTTGACTTTCTTGATTTAATGCATGTGTTTTAAGGTTTCTTGGAATTCTATACATGAATGTGTGTATTGGATGCTACAATCTATCGTATTGTGTTTTTTGGAATTGATTTTTGTGATTAATTGTTTGTATTTATGATTGATTTTGATTTTTTTTTATTTTATGTGTAAAATATTTGTTGAAGGAGATGTCCAAGTTGAAGTTAAAGGAGACGTCCAAGTCTCCTAATTTTACTTTTGTAAGTTCTTTTATTCTATATATTCAATTGTAAATTTGATTATGCTATTGATTCTATGAATTAAAGTGGGCATATGACTTTTGTTAAAATACAAACAAGTTGTGGGTCTAACATTAGTTTGTTCCTTTTATGTAGATTTTTATCCTATGCCCAAATTTGTGCCTGCGCATGATTTCGGCACTCTATTCCCCATTGTGGACTACTCTCAAGCAGCAGATTGATCTTTGGGACAATTACAATAGGACCAACGCTTCTGCAACTGTCTCTCAGGTACTCTAGCGTCACAGTCTCTCATGCTTTGAATATTTGGGTAGTTGCTAATTACCATTAATTGTGTCGGATAAAAGCTTCTCAAGCTTACACACTGCTAGGCATTTATTATCTTAATGTTCTTTTTTTTTTTTTTGGTTCATTTTGTTATTGTATTTATTTCAACTTTGAATATTTTGAAACACCTGTAATATGTTTTTGTATTTATTTCAACTTTGAATATTTTGAAACACCTGTAATATGTTTTGTTGGTCAAGCTGATTGTAATATGTTTCAATGGGAATACAACTTGCTTTGATCATTAATTGATTTTCATATATAAACAATAACCTGAATGACTATTTAACATTGACAACAATCATAGTTCGTATAGTTCATTAATTTTTGGTGAGTTTGATTTATGATAACTTTGCGAGTCTATTATGTTTTCAATTTAAAGTCTTGAGTCCATGAACTCTACGAACTATGAGTTAATTTAGTTCAATTTAAAGTCTTGAGTTCATCAATTATGTTTTCACATTACACAACACGCACGACACACACAAAACGCTCAACACACACACAAGATGTTTGACCAAATGTCCCTAAAACAACACTTAGCAGACACACACTCACACAACACGTGCATTTAGCATTTTATAGGTTGCCTATATTTTTGGAGGTCCTATTTTTAGGAGAACCTTTCAAACGTTGTCAAAATTGTGTAAAAAAACAAAAAAGATGTTATACTTAAATATTGACTATTTTTTTATTCAGCATAATGCATTCACGAGAATATTCATATTCCTAATACTTGGTTGAGCATGTATGCAAAGTGTGGGTGTATTAAGGATGCAATTTAGGTTTTCAGTTTTAGTAGTGTCTATGGTCAGTGTTTGATTTTTGTTGAATCCACAATCAATGTTGGATTTTTTTATGAATTGTATGATACATAAGACACAACTTAAATTGAATTAGTTAGAACTTAGAAATACTTAGACGCCACTACTCACACATACATTTGTGCATGCTCTCCTTGATGCTTATGAACGACCAACTAGATTGAGAATTAATGATGATATACGGTATTTATTTTTCTTCTTTCATTGTATTCAAGATCAATGGTCACTTTTTTTGAATTACGTCGTGCTTTCAGATACGGGTTAAAGTTCATTACAATAAGACATTTGTGTGGTGGTAACTCCTAACTTTAATGAAGATAATGTTGAAGGAAGTTCTTTGTGTCTTTGTACACGTGTTTTTTGTGTGTAGTTTGCAATTGTTTTGTTTGTTCTGTGTTTAGTATGGCGAACTAATTACACATTGTTATGAGGATATGTTTGATTTTGATGTGAATTTGATGGTTGGGTATGTAATTGAGTTGTGATGTATGATGATTGTGGTAGAAATAAAATTAAATTGTGGTGGTGCGAGACATTATTATGATTATAATATATGATTGTGAGTGTTGTCGACAGATTGAAATCTTCTTAGACTCCTATTTTTAGAGGAAGGTTTGCCGAAATTTCTAAAAAATTAGTGTTGTATTCTTCAAAATTTAATTCAATTTTTCGTTACTTCGTGCCTTTTCTTCATTTATTTGATTACTTCATTCAAAATTTATTTTTACCCATTATTTTCTTAAAAATATTGACAAAATTTGCTAAAAATACGTAATTTGATAAAAAAATTTCAACATATGCATAATATAGTATATGGATAATGTATGAAATAAAAATTATATTAATGTACAAATTAGTCAAATATTAAATAATTGAACATCTGATAGAAATGAGTGATGTGATAATTTTAAGGAAAAAAATGTATATAGGATAAAATTCAACTTCTTATTTGTTTTATTATATAGACTAGTAATTATTGTTTGTTGAACGTATTACAAATTAGTATTTTTAAGACTACTAATTACTGTTTGCTTGATGTTATTATCTTTTTATTAAGTGTGTTACTATTTAATGTTACTATAAATGTATATGATACAAACATAATTTTAATGCCAACACACTTTACAAGTTAGAAGTTGTTAATACTAATACAATTCCTAATTTAGGAGTTGTTATTTTATTCAAACAAGTTTGATTAAATATAATTATTAAAGGTATTTTAAACAATAAAGATCAAAATAGACTTATCCTAAATATGTTTTTTCAGTGTATTTAAATCCAAATCAATCTACAAAAATAGACCGACCTCCCGATGACCAAAAAATTAAAGCCAATGAACTAAACACATACAAAAATTATGAGTGGTAATTTTTGATACGATACGATAACTCTATACGAACACGATACGAATAAATGGGTTTGAGTTGATTAATTTTTTGTGTCAACCCGTATATGACACAACCCGTCAACACGAAGTGTTAATGGGTCGTGTTCGGGTTCAACCCGTTTAACACGAATTGACCCGTCAACACGAAGTTTTTGACTCAAAGAAGATTGATCTGGTCTTTTCGTTGCATGTATGAGTTTTCATGTTTTGATGGCTTGTTTTTTTCATTACTTCGGATGTTTAATTTGGTTGTGCGATGTACAATTAACATATTTAATTAGTATTATAAAAATAAAATATTAATTATTTGTAACTGTTTATCAAGCACTGACATAATTATTGTATAAAAAAGATATTATTACTCATTATTATTATTATTATTACTACTATTAAGTTAATTTTTAGTTTGTAAAAAAAATATGAGGAGAGATTCAATTAAGTGAAAATAAAATCTTCGCTTTAATTGACTCGGTTCTAGGATAGGTCGACTCGGAGATTTGGGTCTCTGGGGAGTGAAGTGAGGTTGCTGAGTTCTTGAATGGCCAATTTAAGAAAGAGAGTGATGATGAGTTCTGAGTTGGTCTGGATTGAAGTGGTGGTGGTGGTGGTGTTCTTGGTTATGGAGGAGAGGGTTTCGAAGCATGAGTATATGTACTGAGTCACTGAGCAGATGGCTCGGATTGACTTGTACGGATTGGTCTGGTTGGAGATTTTTACAAATTGAGCTGTGCTTAATACTCCGATTGTCAGTGCTAAAATGATGATGAAAGAGAAGAAGACGATGATGATCAAAGGCTTTTGGGTTTTAGTGGGTTTGATGATTGGCCTTCCAGGAGGCTTACTTTGGTATTGGTAGAGTCCATCACTGATTTGTGAGCCTGAGGAGCTGTGAAGGGTTGGACACGAGGGAGGGAGGAAAAGGGTAGAAAGAAATGAAGCGATAGACGGAGGAAGGAGAGTTTGGGCAAGGGGTCTTGGTCAACGGTCAGGACTTGTTGAACAAAATATTGAGAATTTTATAAAAAATAAATTTTAAAATTTTATTTTATTCTCCTATCTTCCCATTACTTGGAAGAGTGAGTCGGTGGTTGGGTATAAGATATTATTATTACCGCATAGACAACTAGGCATCCAAATCTCGTACGACTCGGTCGAGTTATTTTCGAGTTAATCTTGAATCATCGATTTATCGTCGTCGAATCAGTCAATACGATTCTGTGATGCCACGATATGACCTGAATAGTATTGAGACGGAATCCGAGTTGTCTCAGGTGGGTCTGTTAGTCCATTGGCGGGAGAGTGGTATCGAGACTCCCCCCACATTGCCCGAGTTTGTTTACTACTTACACCTCAAGTATTCTCCATCTCTGGGCTTCCTTTATTTTGCCAAAAGGGTGAAAGATGAGGCGTTAATATCTGACTTCCCTACTTAGCATGAGGATTGGAAAGGAGATTTTTTCTTCATTTTCAGGGACGTCTAGGAGCTAACAGGGGATGTTGGTGATACCCCTTGAGTTCCCCACCTTTGGGATGTCCCTCGCAACACTCGTAAGTCCTCCATATGTAGATGGGGTGTTTGGTTGGTACCTTTCTTGGTAGCTTTGGTTACTCGAGCTAAGGTTTGCGGTGTTAGGTCTTTCGAAGACCTGGTCATGGCTGAGGATCATATTGTGCCACAACTAGGATCTGGTCTTGTGATAGAGGAAGTATCTTCTAAGTGAGTTTTGCGCTCAAGGTCCTCATTGTCTTTTGGTTGTTTTTCCTCCTTACTAAGTTTACACTTTTTTCGTCATAGGTGTTGCGAGGACGGTTTGTGACCAAGAGTTGGTGAGAAAAACTATAGTGGACCACAGGCATGCCAAAGATGCGATCACTTCTAGTTCTGAAAAAAGGGCCAAGACAACGCCTACAACCCTTGAACTACCTCATGCCCCGACTACCCATCAAGGAGGGGTGTTGAGGAGCGTTTCTCATAGAAAGAACTGAGTAGCTCTTTGAGGCAGAGCTGAATAGCTCTCTAAGGCTAAGGATCCAAGCTTATAGAGGACCGACCTCATTGGATGGTATGTTGGCACCTTGATCGTATGAGCCTAGAAATATAGTCTAAGCCTTCGAGCTGCCATCACTAGAGCTAAGACTAACTTCTCTATTTTCAGGTATCTTTTCTCCGCTCCTCTTAACGTTTGCTATAAAAGTACACCGATATCTGCACTTTTAATTCCTCCCTCATCGACGCCGCACTGCCCAAAAAAATCTAACACAACCAAGTACAAGGTGAGGATCTCCCTTTCTTTTGGGCTGACCAGGATCAGAGTTGTGCTTAAGTAGGTTTCCAGGTGCTAGAATGCTACCTCACATAGGTCATTCCATTTGAAGGTGTCACTTGCTTGGGAGACAAATCTGTTAAGATTGGCTATTTTTCCCATCAACCGTTGAACCTCCTTTGTGGTTGATGATGACTTCGTTTCAAGAAAAGCTTTGATTTTTATCAAGATTTTCTTCAATTCCCCTTCGGTTGATTATGAAGCCCAAGAATATTTTGGTTGAGACCCTAAAGGCACATTTGGATGGATTTAACTTAATCATTTATTGTCTCATGACCTGAAAAGACTCCCGAAGGTGATTGATGTAAAGTTCGTCTTCGATAGATTGAACTAACATATCATCAATATATACCTCCATGGTGGTGTTGAGCTGATTGGTGAATATCCTATTCACGAGCCATTGGTAAGTGAACCTAGTGTTTTTCAACCCGAAATGGCATGACTTTGTAGCAGAAAGTCCCTTATTTGGTTATAAAAGATGGCTTTTCCTTGTCGGCAGGGCTTATCCTAATCTGGTGATATCCCGAGAAGATGTCCATGAAGCTGAGAAGCTCATGTCCTCAGATAGCATTGATGATAAGGTCAATCCTTGGAAGGGAAAAACAATACTTAGGACAAGCTCGGTTGAGATTCGTAAAGTCTATACACAAGTGCTACTTTCCTTTTGTCTTCTTGACCAGGACCACATTAGCTAACCAAACTGGATAGTCAACTTCTCTGATGGCCTTGACTTTCAGAAGCTTGGCTACTTCCTTGTTGATGGCTCATTGTCTTTTTGTGGTGCGAAACTCTATCTCTTATGTTTGATGGGCTTGAAGTTAGGGTCCAAGTTGAGTCTGTGAAAAAATATCCTTCAGGTCTATTATTTCCATGTCGTCTTGCCTCCAAGTGAAGACGTATACATTATATTTCAAGAAAACGATGAGTTTTTCCTTTATCTCCTCCATAAGCTTGGAGCTGATGAAGACCACATGACCAGGGTCTTTATCCACCTACATGGCCTCTAGCTCTTCCTGGCATGGTATCCAACTCATCACTCATGTCTAGATCATCCGTCTACACTATGTCAACTTCTTTTTGCTTCATCGACGACATATAGCATTCTCTTGCTATTCTTTGGTCTCCCCACACTACGTTGACCCTATTCTCAGTGGGAATATTCATGACCAAATGATAGGCAAAAGGGATGGCTTTGATGGCATTAAGAGAATGTTTTCCCATAATTAAATTGTAACCTATGGGGCATCCACGATCAAGAACTTAGTTGTGGTAATCGTTTGACAAGGTGGTTCTCCGAGGGTCAGAATGAGCTATACAGAACCCAACAAGAATACCATTTCTCTTAAAAAACCCCACAAGATGGTTTTTTGGCTGGCAACAATTGTTCTCGGCCAATTCTGAGCTGATCGAATGCATTCAAGAAAATGATATCGGTTGAGCTACCATTTTCTACCAGAATTCGATGAATATTCTTATTGGCAATGATGACTTGACGACTAGGGGATCGTCTGTGAGGGAGTTGGCAGTCTTCAAGGTTGGTATCCGAGAAAGTTATCTCCATTTTAGATCGTGGGGCCTTATATATGGATCTCGAAAAACCCCACTGATCGGGTTTTTTACACGTGGACTTTCTTGACAGAGCTAGATTCAGCTCTACTTTGCGCCTCATCTCCAAATTCTTCTCCCAGTGGCTAACGTTCGATGTTTTCACCAGAATGGCAATGGTGATTCACCTCTATTTCAAGGGATGTGGAGGAAGAGGTGGATCCTGATGGAATCTTGGTTGCTGGGCGGGAAAAAGGGCTATGATGCATTGATTTTCTTCGAGGAGACACAACATGTTTTGCTAGTAAGTCTCCGATCCCCCTCTGTGTGTGTGTGTGTGGGGGGGGGGGG